TACGTGTATGAATGAATAAATAGCAAACTGACGTACTTCTTTTGATGATATCATTCGGACTGTAACCATCTTGGATACCTAATGAATTTCTACTATAATATAATAAATGAATTTCGAATTCGAATTATTTGTCGCAAATAGTCGATCAATGTCAATGGCATCGATGCTTTTCTTTATGTTAGTTGAATAGAAATTATATTTTTGTATGTATAACAACTTTTTTCTAACTGTCCAAATAAAATCAATCGAAAAAGACTGAACTGAAGAGATATTTAAGTGAAAAAATGAACAGAACTAATAAAGGATATCAACACAAGTTTATCATTGAATCTTTCTATGAATTATTTTCTATTTTCTTTGTTATTGATTTATTCATAGCCTTTGTTTTGAAATGACAAATCTTAGTTTCGAAATTTTCTGCCAAAGCAAGTCACTTCGTTTATCGGCGTAGTGATCACTCAAAATCAACAAGAAATATTCATCTTAACTGTAATCGGATAATTCGAGAAATCACTAGGTTAATACTGAAGATTTTCGTTCAAAATTCTGTCAATATTACTATCGATCATATTATTGTCAAGTTAGTCTTCATCTATGATCAAACATTTCTTTTAAAAAATACTCTCATTGTTCGAGTTCTTTTATTCTTGCATAAAATAAAGAAAAATAAATCATAGAAAGTAATGTCTATATATATGTTTATCAATGAATAAATAATCGTTCAAGAGATAGTACATGTGTTGAATAATTCACGTATTGCTTTTTGTTGTCGTTCACGTTGAAATATAGCTGTTAATTGAGCCATCGGTTGTGTATAGTATTTATTCAACCATTGTGGTCGATAAGCCATAATTTTCTTTACTCGTCTTGTTCGACCAGCAACAACAATTGAGTTAACTACCATAAAACTTCGTTGTACTTCACCTAAATCGTATATTCGATTGAGTGATGAACCACACATCTTTCCATCTCGATCTTCAATCATTACTTTATCAATAAAAATATCAGGATCAAGAGTAGCACAGAAGACAAATAAGAGACGAATATCAGTATCAGTTAAATCATCGTAATTTCTAAAATCACGAAGAGTATTGAGATTGGATTCATCATATTCGATCAATGTACACATGCAATCCAAATAGTACATAAGTTTTGCTATGCTATTATCGGGCACATTAACTTGCCGACTTGAACGAGCGATGTCATATGTATTTAAATTGAAAAAAGCCATAGTAGTCACAATAATAACAAGATTTGATCTTGTGTTATTATCACTGGGCATTATTTTTCTATTTATACTCGATAGAAGCGATTCTTGTTGGAATTTACCAGGTGAAAGATAAATAAAGACACGCCCCATTAGTTTTTGTAATTATGATGCAATACTATTCAGTGAGTCAGTTCCTTAATTCATCATCGAAAACGTAAACAAAACATAGATGATCAAATATTAATAAACTAATTTATCTTAAAACTTTCTTGTAAGTAGAAAAAGAAAATCATTGATACTTACAATCTAGCGAAATACATATATTCTTTTCATCAGAAGAAATGTGTAAGACATCAAATTGAAATAATTATATCTTGTCATAGAAGAGAGCTAGAAGATTACAAGCAATAATTCAGATTTGCTTTGAAGTCTATTAGAAATAATTTATTATTGGTGATGAATATTTTCAGGATATATATATGGAATCAATTGTATCTTAAATAAATGGTAAATAAATATATAATTAATTTATTGCGATGCAAATTATTTGACAGAAATATAAATAACATCAGGCTTATCTTCCTAAAAGTTATATATAGAATATAACTTATTTTTTACTATTACTAATCAGTCATTTTGAAAAACATGTGTCGTCATTTTTTAATGATGAAATCATACAGAGAACGTCATTCTTGAATTAATTATTCTTTAAAGAAAATAAAGTTTTATCAATCTTCATAAAGTTCAACTAGATAATAGATTCTATTCAATATTTACTCATAAATCTATTTTAACAGTTTCAAATTAATCATATAAATTTTGGTCTTTCTTTTCAAAAGATCAATTACTTGATACTTTACTCATGTTCAGCATATAAAGGATAGTCAACTTTTTAGTTTATAACTAATTACTTGATCAACATTTTTAAATTTAAAATTTTTTATTTCATATGTTATAGATATGTAGATTATTTGTATATGAACATTATTTTTCACTAGAAATTTTTAATGCATTACAAGTGTATTCTATCAATACTTTTTAAATTTTAGTTATGAATATTGTAATGATGGATAAATTCATAATATAAAACATTTCAGTAATAATTCAATAACATCAAGGTTTTCGAAATACTAGAGAATATGAAAAGAGTAACTTTAATACTTAATTTTGATGAAATTAAGATAAATTTTTTCTACCAGTTTTTCTATTGTATTTAGGTCATTATGATTAGAAAGTAAACATTTTTTTCTCGTTAGTATTATTCATTCGATCGATAAAATTATGTTTTTTTTATTAGACAATTCTGTAGTTCTAGTGTTCTGTCTGAAGATGTGCAGAATTAAATATCTTTTACTTCTGGTCCTAATGATGTATTTTCCATGATTTTCGATTCCGTTGATTTTCATTTTTCAGATACTGGCCGAGTAATCCTAGCTATGGTTGAAAGCAAAAATGAAGTATGAAGTATGAGGCATTTCTATTAGATCTAAAATATCCTGTTGTTGGTGAATATAATTTTTATTGATCTACTCTTCTAAATTTTGTTTTTAACTCTATGTTTATAAAATAGTTCACTCAAAACCATAGAACATTTAACTACCATCTTTAGTTTTAGAAAGATAACTACTATCAAAGTACTCATTTATGGTACTGTTTTTGATTATTATTATTCAGAATAACTGATACGTATCAGTCGTTAACATTAAGATGAGGGAAAAAATGCTCATGAAGGTCTATTAAATGACGTATACGATGTTTCTTAATGTGTATAAGAGTATATATGCTATTTATTTTTAATTTCAAGTGGCGTCGACATATCTATATCATGAATGTATGAATTTGGAGAAACAAAGAAACATTGATACAATTAATTATTTATAAATGCGACTTCTTCATTTTATAAACCATATTCATAACATAAGTGTAAATACAATAAAATATTCAATTATAAATTTTTCTTTAGCATTGAATTAATGCGTAAAAGTTCCTATGGATTGACAGTAATGTTATACTGATATTCTTATGTTAAACTTGAAAATTTAGTTAATAATACCATATAACTTTTGACAAAATACACTATAGACTTCCAGTTCATTGAGTCGAGTTATGGATACCAGTGTGAGTACGAGTATGAAAATAGATGTCAGTGACGAGATGACGCAGGTCCACAGCAACAGTCACAACGAAACCTACTTATCGAGTAGATTTCCTCTACTCGGACAATGCTTATGTTATGTCCTTTAAATTTTTGTTCAAGCGGGGTCATTTAATATGGTGGCCGTTCTACATGAGGACGATTTTATAAATTGGCTTCGCTGAAAACTTTATCTTGCAAAATTATAGTTCCTTCTCTGCAATTTTACTCTGCCATGTGCGCTCATTGAAATTTTTTAGAATTTCATAAACATATTTCATACAGTTACATAATTAATACAAACACAAGCTTGCAAAAAGGCATCAGACTATATGCTTTGTCACATTTAAGGAATCATTTCAAGGACTCAACTGTTTTTCGGCATATTTCATGTTCGAATGATTTTGACTTTACGTGTAATGGGTAGACGAAATGATACTCTACGTATTGGAGTAAATTTTCTTGTAAAATGACGTCGGTCTACAATTTAACACTCATTTTGGTCCCTTATATCTATCGTTTTTAGATCCCTGAGGATTTTGCAAAACTAAAGTTATAGTATATTTCTAATTTCTGTAGTGATTAGTCAAATTATTCTTTTACATTTGACTATTATAAAAGAATGACTCGAACATCAACGAAATTTGATGGTTTTAAGATGAGACCGAATGAAGAATGGAAAAAAAAAGAAGCCTTTGGTTCTATCAAAACCTGTTGTCTAGAAAATTTGGCTATATGCGTTCAATGAAATGCATTTGATAATAAATAAATTTACAATTCTTTTCAAGTGCATTGAATTCGTGAGAATATAACATGCCATTTAATTGTGACCCAGAAATATCCGTTCATGTCCTCATCATTGTTCCTTGAAGTTAAGAACGATGACTAGGTTTATATTACGAGTTATTGTCAGCTGCATTATGATCGACTTGTTTTGTTTCACTTTGAGTAATTTCAGCAGTATTACTCTTCTCGGGTCCAAGTAAAATTATAATCAGTAGATAGCAGTAGGTACTAGCTAAGAAGATACCCATGACTTTACCATAGTCGTATTGGTGCTTATTAGTGGTATTACCAGATGTTTGTAATGGAAAATGTTGTCCAGCAGTCGCTTCGATAGTCGATGAGGCTGATGAGATGAGGTTGCCTAACTGATAAGAAGTACCGACTACGAACGAGCGAAATTGTAGCGGTGCCAGTTCCATAAGATGAACAGGCACAACGCCCCAAGCACCTTGCACACACATTTGCTGAAAAAATGCGCCAGCCATAATGAACATGTTATGTGGAAGTAGATAGACTGGAATGAGAGCAGCACCAACGATAAGAACAACGATGATTGACAATCGCCGACCGAAGAAACTTGAAAAGTATCCAATCAGCGTGCCACCAAAGAGAGCACCACAGTTACCTACAACTATGGTGATAGTGACGAGCCTATGCGAGAACATAAGCTGAGAAGCGAGAAATGTCGGATACAAGTCTTGACTACCATGTGATAAAAAGTTGAAACCAGCCATCATTAATACAAGATATGTGAAAATTGGCCAATGCTGAGCCAGTACAGGACGAATAGAGCCAAGGAATGCGCTCACTGCGGATACTTGATGATCAGCTATAATGAAAAATTTCAGCATATCATCGGAGTTTTAAGTTCTAGCTAAATTTACCTGCAGCTGCATTCGTTTTGCATGCCTCTTTGACAGAGAGAAATGTTCGTGTCTCGGGTAAGAAGATACGCCAAATTGCAATCAGCAATGGAGGACAACCTCCAAACCAAAATAGGGCTCGCCATCCATACTTTTGATTATTCGTAATTGCCAGATTCAAGGCAGCGGCAAGTAAATAGCCAAGTGCATAGCCCTGTTGTAACAAGCCTGATAGAAGGCCACGTGTAGCGATCGGAGCATCTTCAAGCGCTGTAGCAGCACAATTACCATAGATACCGCCCATAGCTATTCCGAAAAGAGCACGAACACCAATAAATTGTGCGTATGTACTACAGAAGCCTGTGCAAATTTCGACTATAGCATAAAAAACAATATTTACGATGAATGGCCATTTACGTCCGAATCGATCACCGGCGATTCCAAAAATAATGGCACCTATAGAACGAAGCATTAATGTCACTGTAATTCCCCAAGTAATGTCTGATGGTAATTTATTATATGTAGTTGAAATTTCAATGACAGTAAGAGTAACAGAGAAGAAATCAAAAGCATCAAATGTCCATGCAAGAAGAGCGACGAGAAAAAAGGCAATCTGTTGACGATTGAGCATACGAAGAAGAGTAATGGGATTTTCTGGTACGATCAAAGGGGGAACAAGGCTTGTGAATCGACTAATAAGATATTTCAAAATAATCATAGCTGTCAAAAAAAGTTTCACACTGAAGCTATTTTTGAGTTGATGTAAGAATGATATCTATAACGAATAGAAAGATCGTTCTGTTTCGATTAAAACATGGGCTAACTCAAGCATGAATATCAGTTGATGACATCGTCCAATTTCGATTGATGCATTGACTAATGCAAGCATGAATATCTGTCCATTACATCTCACCATTTTTTTCACATTAGTGAGAAAATTATCAAAACTATAGGAATATCATTTTCCAATTAGTTAATAATTAATTTAAGTTTGACAATAAACATAAACTATCATGATTTATATTTGTTCTAAATATACATGATACAAAATTTAATTTGTTTAAAATATATAATTTTATTTAACTTGTAATTTATTAACTTCAAGTAAGTTGTATTTATTTTTAAATTTTATTAATGAAAAAAATAATTTAAATTTCTTTTAAGTTAATAGAAAAATGATACCCCTATCTGTCTATTACATCTTTCCGTTTTGTGTCATTTAAATGAGACAATTATCAAAACAACATCTTCGTCTTTTTTTGCAACACCTGTTTGATTTATTGCTTCTTTCTCTCTTTCTGTCCATACAAAAACAATGTGACACAGGAACAAGAATACTTTGAACTTGTATAACCGCGGCAAAATGATCAGAGTTTCTCAATGGTATATTCAGATTTCACTCAACACTCGACGATATCCCACTAGCGCCTTATCGAAGATTGGGTAGTTATGAGCGATTCACTTTTTCATTGGGTAATTACTACTTCAATGTGTCTTGTTTGCTGTATGTACTAGACTAATTAGAATTTCGTCACTTCTATTCTCTCTTTGTTGTCTTTTAAAACAACTCTTATCTATTAGACGATTGCAAAAAACTGAACTTATGTATCCTAGACGTTAATTGAACTTTCTGAACTGTGAGAACATAAAAAGACAACTTAAAGGAATGATTTCTGCATGGTTTGAATATTCCAAGATGAAAGTCACGATAAAAACTGTATACATATTTCAGGCATAATTGATTGCCGCAACAAAAGCAAATAAAATTTTGTGCTAGCGAGAAGAAAGTTCGTTTCAAAATCATTATATATTTTGGAACTATTATTCAGCGAATATTTTTTCTGAGCAAGAAAAATCTTTACTTCCATAATGAAAGAATGATTATGCTAGTTACTATATGTTGCTGGGTCATTGAGACCTGTGAGGTTCAAGCTTCACCAAGACCTCGACATGACATCGTGAAAACTTGTGATTCATAGGTTTTGGGGGACCACTCTTCCGATCTTAGGAAGTCCATATTTGTTCTAAATCTTGGGATTTTCTTTTATTCGATAGTCTGAGACCAGAATGTGCACTTTAAGAATTTATATTCCCATTTCTAGTAAGTCAACTACCATATATGTAATACTTGAAACTTGAATTCAAGTATTCAAGTATTCAAGTTTTCAACAATTCAAATTTTCACGTGTCCAGTATTCTGCGGATATTCAGTGAGGAGGCGCTTTCCTCATCTAGCACACCTTTTATTTCAGAGTCGCGACCCATGTACGTCTTTGTGTACACCATTATTTCTATTCAGTGCTGCAGGGTAGCTCAAGCTTCTCACATACTTCTTGTAGCATTTCAGATAATATCTGAAGCATTTCAACCAAAACTTGTAACATCCCTGAGGATGCTTGTAATATCCTACGTAATACTGACAGCATTCTAGAGAACTCTGTAGCATTCCAGACAATACTTGTCGATATTAAGTGATTCTGGTAGCACTTTAGGCGTTGACTGATTGAACACTTGAATAGTTGAATACTTGAACTCAACTTTCAAGTTTAACACTAATGAGATATTTTCCTTACTAGGCCATTTTTCACAATTATAATGTATTTTAACTCCTTCGTTAAATAGTTTATGTTTGCAGGTTTTTCACTGTGTTCGTCCAATGCATTAGGTAACAGTTGAACTCAAATTTAGTTAGAAAATAGATGATGATAACGGCAGTGTATACCTTCATTTTTTCTTCATTTGTCACGTGTGCAGATTTAAATAAAAGTTGCATTCTCTCTTTTCACAAAAGTCATTACTATTGATTTTGAAGCAGTCAATTCAGTTTTGATGTGAATTGATTAGCAACCGTGTCTTCCATGCGATGAGAAAATATCGAAACCAGCGGTTAACTCCGGTTTTTATATTCAATGTTTTTCAACATATAACTACACGAATATTTTTAAACTGGGAGAAAAAAATGTTAGATCGGATTATTTATTAAAAAGGGCGCCACAAGAATAGTCATTCGTTAGAAGATGTAATCAATAGAAGAAAAACTATGACTCTATCTAAGATAATATGCTGTAGCATATTACAATCGATCTTTCCAAGACGGAAAATATCAAGAGTATAGATAAATTTTAAAAAAACTTGATAGAAAAATGAGTACACCAGTCGAACAGTTAGTTTTGATACAAAATTGACAGCATATAATAATAGTGATAGATGATACCATCAATTTTCAATAAAGTTAGGCGAAAGAAATAGATGAAGAAAATTTAATCTGTTCATTTGTTTTTTGATCAAACACTCATTTTTGAAACACGATATTCAACAAGTTTTATCACTTGTTTTGGATCTTTATTTGTGCAAAATGAACATGAATGACTTCAGTTACCCAACTATGAAAACTAAGAATGATTGTCTTTAATGTAAATCTTCTAATTTATTTAGAAATGCTTATAACCATCTTTCTTGTCTATGTGTATTTTGACACTTTTTATGAAATTACAATTCATTTGATAATGAGAAAAGTAATATTGAAAGAAAAGACAAAAGAAGTCTATCAAAATTAACAAGATATTTTTCGATACTATTAAAGATTGTGAAGATCTGATAGTACATCTCATACAAATATACAAGCAGCAAGAATCAGAAATGAATATGAGTCGATTAATCTTGACAAGTTTGGAAACCAGAATTTTTTTTCTTGATTTCTGCTTTAGTTGAGATAATGTGTATTCATATCATATTTCTGTTATATACCTAATTAAACAATGAGTTGAAAAAGATCACATTTTGTATAGGCAAAATATTTAGAACTGGTATATTTTTACAGATATCGATTGTTTTATATATAGTTTCAAACTTAGACAAACTGTCATAAAGAAATGATATAAAAATGTATTTATCATTGATCTGACTAACAATAAAAAAAAAATTAATTTTTCATGGACAAAAAAAAAACACCATGTATAATTTGCCAATATTTATCACATTATATTAGTCGTTGTTATCTTTTGCGAATACTCTTTAGAAAAAAAAAAAAAAAAGAAAGTTATTGAAAAATAAAATTATAAATTATTTTATTTACTGTCTTAATTCATTGAACGAATCAAAATAAATTTGTTGAGCAATATTATTCACAAGAGAATTAATTAATTCTTCATTGGAACTAGTATTATGTGTTAATGATCGAAATATTGATTGTGAATTATATCGATTTTGATTGAATAAACTTGTTTCTTGTTGTTCATTATATTCTAATTGTATTGAATTTTTCTTTATTTTTCGCAAATACTTGTCATTATCATCTAACGTTGTTCTAGAATATATTTCATTATTTGCAATAGTTGATAAAGCATTGGTTATAATATATTCAGTAAAACGATTTGAGAAATGTTCAATATCGTATGAAGAAATTTTTTCTATTGCTTGTTCAATAGTTGAATGAATAAATTGATTAATATATGAATTTATATCTTGAAGAATTTCCATAGATACATAGGATGAAGAACATTGTGAAAGTTCATTTCTGTTAGTTAAATTTTGATAATCAATCTATTTAAAAATAAAAAAAACATTAAGAAATATTTCCAAATAAGAAAAAAATATAATGAGTATTATTTAAGCATACCTGAAGCAAAGCAATTTGAATAGTATGTTCAACAAATTGATTGGCAAAATTTTGTTTATCAATTAAATTATGTTGTTGTTTATTGATTTTGGTTAAGCAAGGTTTATTAAGACTGAATGAATATTGTACATCAAAAGGTCTATTCGATCTAGTACTACTTGTAGTTCGTGATATTCGACATCGAGTTTGATTTGTTTGTTGATAAGATAATAGACGTGTTTGATAATGAACAAAATCATTTTTTGTTGCCGGTAAAGAACAACGTGGAATAGTATGATGAAATGATACTTTACGATTATTTCTATTAGTACTTGATGATCGACATCGTAATAGAATATTTGATTTTAATGTTCGATTTTCGGAAGAATTTTGATATATTATTGAAGATATTTCTGTTAAATAATTCAATGCATTAGAAATTGCTTGTTGAACTTGTTTATTTGCTAAATTCAATACTTCTTGTTCCATCTAGAAACAAAAAAAGAAAAACAAACAAATCCAACTTTATTATAGGGTTTTTTTTTTGTTTCATCAAAATTAATTTGAAGTTTTATTAGTTAATTCAATTAAACGTTGTAATCTATCTTGTTGTTTAAGTTGTTCAATCATATTATGTAAATAATGAGTTCCATCAAGAAATTCACTAACATTATGAACATTTTCACTAAGACGTTCATCTGTTATACGATTTTGTGGCATATTATATGTTCGAATTTTTTCATTTCGATTTCCACTACCAGTTTGTTGTTTACGTGTTTGAAATAATCGTTCTTGTTGTTCATCATATTGCATTTGATAAAGTCTTGATATAGAATAAATAAAGAAATAAATATAATAATTAATTAAAAAACAATTCATACTTATTTTTCATTGCTTTAATAGCAAGATTTTTATTTAAATTAAAAAAACGTTCATCTTGTCGTTCAAGAACAATACCTATATATATATATATTAAATTATATTTAATTAATATGAAAATGATTTTCTTTTTTACCAGTTGGTAAATGTGTTAAACGACAACCTGATTCACTTTTATTTACATGTTGACCACCTGGACCTCTTGCACGAATAGGTTCAGCTAATAAATCTCTAGTAGGAAGTTCGATTTTAATCTATAACAAGATTAAACCAAAAAAAAAATAACTTAAAACATAAATTATTCGAATAAATCTTTTATATACATCTTTCGGTTGAGGTAAAACAGCAACCATAACTGTACTTGTATGAATTCGTCCACTTTTTTCTGTTTGTGGAACACGTTGTACTCGATGTACTCCGCATTCATATTTTAAACTTTTAAATACATCTAAACCATTTACAAATGCTTTTCCTTGACGAAGACCACCTTTAATAATAAAAAAAAACAAACTTATCACCATTTATCGTATATAGATTTAAGTTTTTCGTTTTTATTTTATTTATACCAATATCAGTTTTATCATATTCAACTATTTCAAAAGACCATTTTCGAAAATTAGCATAATTTGTATACATTTGAAATAATTCTTTAGCAAATAACATTGCTTCTTGACCACCAACACCAGCTGAAACTTCAAGTTCAGCATCATCATTATCAGCAGATACTTCTGGTAAAATACGATCTATAATCTAAGAATAATAAATAAAAAAAAGAAATTTGAATTTATTATATTATTCACTTCATTATCAATTGTATTTAAATTTGTTTGTAAACGAATAATTTCATCCGTAGCCATTTGTGAAATATCATCATCATTATGTTCTATAGAAAAACTATAAAATGAACTTTCAGAATATATTTTTATTTTTTTTTTTGAAAAACATAATTTCTTTCTTGTGACTCAATGTTAAGTAAATACTTCAAAAAAAAACAACAAAAGAATAAAAGAGAAAAAAACAAAATGTTCGATAGAAATCAAATAATTAATAGAACGAATATTTTAATCAAATATTATATGAACTATAATTTAATACTTCATTCGAATAAAATAATATTTCATATAAATTAAATTGATCTATACATATTTTAATAGAAATATATAACAAATACAAACAAAAAATATTTGTACGTAATTCAATTTTATGTTTTTTTTGCTTCAAATAGAAATTCCCTTAAGACAATAATCAGAGTTTAGATTTTTTCATGTGACTGAATGTAAAAGTTAAAAATTCTACTAATAACTTTCAAAATTTATTATATGACTATATTTCAGTATAGTTTTATTAACTACTGATTTCTATCAATATTAATAATAATCATAATTATAATAATTAAATAAAAATATTATTTTAGAACATGATTATAGATATGACATGTACTATAAGAATAATGTCAATTTATATACTTCACTACATTAGAAAATTGAAGATGATAGATATTTTCTTAGTTGTCAAATTTTATTTATATCAATTAATATATATTATTAAGACATTTTCTTATGTCAAAATAATAAGATATTTATAAAGTTATCATAACCTTTGGATTTGTTTTACCATTAGAAAGTTTTTTTGTTTCATTAATATCTTGAAGAATATTTTCATGTAATTTCATTTTTTGTAATATTATTTTAAGATATTGAATTCTTTCAATTGTATTTTCATTTTCATTTATTTTTAATTGTTCAAATTCTTTTTTATAATTTATTGATAAACGTTTTATAACATTATCAATAATTGTATTATTATTATTATTATTTGTTGTTAATGTTCGTCGAGAAAATATTATATATGATAAACGTTTTAAATAAATATTCCACATTTTCTAGAATATAATATTAAATAAATATGTCAAATAACTTTTATTTATCTTGAACATAATACATTTTTATTCATTATTATATCATGTATTAAAAGCAAAAACAAAAACGATTGAACAATTATTATAAAAGAAAATAAATAAATAAATATACAAAGACATTAATTAATGCACGTTACTGACTACAAAAATTAGAATGCACATTCTTATATATTTCACAATTTTTGAAGAAGAAAAACAATAATCAAAAATTGTTTGCTTAAAAAAATTAAGAACAAAAGATAAAACCAGATCATTTCTTTGAAGGCATCTGTTAAACATGACATACTGCACAATTAAGAAGAAAAAAAAAACCAAAAAATAAACATTAATACATGATCAATTTGAATTGAAAGTCACATTTACACATACATTTAAAATGAAAAAAAAACAAACAAAACGAAAGTCATCCATCTGACGAACATCCATGTCTCTCCGTTCGAGAATACCAATACATGAGATTCTTTGATGAATAATATTATACTGTACAAGATCAAAGAAAATCTATTACCAAGCATCCGTATATCGTATATCGCATTCTTGTAAAGCAGGTAATTTTTCCTAAAATAAAATAATTTCATTTTTATTTTAAAATTATATATAATTAAATATACTTTTAAAGCTTCAAATGTTACTGGAGATAAATGTGTAGAATTTAAATTAAGTTTTCTTAACATTTTCATACCTACAAAAAAAAGACAATGAATAAAACAAAAAAATAGATAAGGATTATCAACTTACAAGATAAATAATTTAAACCTTTATCTGTTACTTGTGTTTCACATAAATTAAGTACTTGTAAACGATTTAAATGTTCAGAAATTAATTCTAAACCTGCATCACCAAACTAAAAATAATAAAATAAATCATTTTTTTTTTTTGTTTTATTTAAAATTTATTTACTTGTGTTGACCATAAATTTAAATATCGAAGTGCTGGTAATTTAATTAATTGTTCAGCACAAGCACTTGTTACATTTGTAAATGCTAAACTTAAACATTCAAGATTACCAAATGAACCACTTGATAATAATTTTGCTAGATCATTATCTGTTGAACGTGATGGTAATGTTAATTTTTTTGGTCCACCTTTTTGTTGTAATTCTCTTAATGCTATTTGTCTATCACATACTTTTGCATATAATTTTAAACCAGTTGATGTTGATTGTAATGTTGATATTAATTGTAATTTATTATCACGATTTTCAATAGCATCTAAATCAAGCATAGCACATAGAGTCTAAAAAAAAAAGAATAAATTTTATTTATTAAAAATAAAAATTTAATTAATTTTTTACTTCTAATGAACTTTGATTTTCACGTAATGCAAGTAACATTAATGCTGGTAATAATTTATTAATACTTAATAAAAATCGTTTTTTTCGACAACAACATGAAATTAATTTACTAAGCTAAAATATGAAAAAAAAATAATGTTTTTTATTTTTGAAATTTAATTAAACATACAATAAGAGAAAACATTTCACCATCATCATCACATGCAATACTACCCAAACAAAACATTTCAAGCCATCCTTCTTTTCCTTCACGAATACCTAATACTGTTTGATGAATTTCACATCGAGAATCATCAACAAGATTTTTAACAAGATTTTTAAATATTCTATTCAAAAAAAAGAAAAAATATAATTTTCTGAGAAAATTTTCTTTGATTAACAAAAATTACTCTATAAAACGATCATGTGTTAATGCTTCATCAGGAAATGGAATTGATTGAAGAAGTAAACCAAGTTGTGGTCTCCAATCATCAAATGTAGACCTAAACAAGTATCAAATCGTAGACGACAAATGTAATTAAAATGAAGAATATACTTAAAGTTCTCTTTTTTTGTTTTTACATCATGAACATTAATTAATAGATATACTACGTGCTCAAGCAGAATAATAGAATTATTAGTGTGTAATGATCCTTTCATATAGAAGTAATAAATAGAAACAAGTCCATATAGCAAAATGTCTATCTTTAATTCTATATTAGACTTATATAAGATAGGAAGAAGAAAAAAAAAGAAAATCTTATTGTAAGCCTAAAGCAATTATTAATCAAGTTAAAGAAAAATTTTTAATCAAGTATTACTTATCTAATCTTATTATATTTATGAATGAATTATTTCAATTTCATAGTTAAATAGATAAATATTCAGGATGTAGCTGAAGTATGAAAAAAAAAAATCATGACTTTTAAAATTTAATGACTAATTAGTTGAGTGTATCAAAAAAAAACTCAAGTCAACTTGACCTAAGTATAAAAATTAAATGTAAGATACGGACATTTTGAAATTAGCTAGAATAGAACTTTAAATTTATGAAATATTCATGTTTATCATTCTATACTCATTTAAAATATCAAAAGTTTCTTCTGATGTTCGAATTTGTAAATTTTATTATAAGATCTTACATAGTTTGTAACATTGTTGTATAACATACTAATTGACTGTCAGCTTCTTCTTCATATGCTCGATAACTCTCTTTATCTTCAAATCGAAAACTAAAGCATAAAAAGATAGCATTGTAAATAATTTTAAATAAAATAAAATCAAAGACAAAAGTTTTTTTTTTATTTTGCCATTTTCTCTTACTTTTTACGATCTTCAAAAAAATTATAAATAGCTGCAAGACAAACAGAAACAAAATTTGATAAAACACGTGGAAATGGACAGATCATTGTTGGACCA